GGCGGAGTAAAAGGGGTTTTTCTATTGAAAGGAGGTTGGTGTTTGAGAAAGGAGATCCTCAGGTTGCAAGGGGGATTCCATCTCTGGAGTTGTCATTGTTAGGTATAGCTCTGAATAGAGGATTTTTGTTAGGAATGGTGAAGGAGATGGAGGAAGCTTGATCCCGTGGGTGAGATTCCTTCCATCAGATCCAGATCTATTTTTCTTTCAAAAATCCGTTGTGCATGTTTTTATTTTTTTTGTGGGTTTTTGTTTGTTTTTAGATCTGAAGTCAAGATTGTATATGTTTCGTGGGAAAATGAATGAAAAAGAAAAATTGTCTAGTTTATTTCTTGATGAATATGTTTAAATGTTTATCTTTTTGCTGAAAATGAGAAGTATATATGATGAACCCTAAATTTCTCTTTATGTCGTCTGGATTTTGGTTTTGCTTAAGGTTTGATCTGTTTTGTGTTCATTTGTTGATGGATTGTGTTTTTGGATTGAGTCAATTCAACCCAATCTAGTTAAAAAAAAAAAAATTAAAAGAAAATTAAAACAAAAAAAAAATATATATATAAGTCTGATTAGAAATTAATTAATTAATTTTAATGAAAGTTAAATTAATCTATTCTTATAAGTAATACGAGAACAAGAATAAATTTAAAAGATGATACTCTTATCCAAAATGCTTCCTTTTGGTACTAACACTTGTATTCCATTGAAAAAAATTAAAAGAAAATTAAAACAAAAAAAAAATATATATATAAGTCTGATTAGAAATTAATTAATTAATTTTAATGAAAGTTAAATTAATCATTTAATTAAATTAATAATCATAGTTAATTAACTTAAATCATTAAGTTTCTTTTAATTTGGTCAAAGTCAAAAGTATCTTTCTTTATTTCAAACTTCACCCAAAGCTTTTATGATTAGGCAATTCAGTCCTGAGGTTTCAAACCCTTTTAAATCAATCTTCCATGTTTTTGAACTTAATCAAATCAGTCCTTTTAATCTTTGTTTGTGTTTATGGTGCATGCATGTCTTCGATTTCCTCCATTTTTGTAATACCCCAAAATTTTGTGATATTTTAGCATTAAGTGAGGACCTTTGTGAGAGGAAATATGGTTTTGGGACTTAATAGCCAAAGATTTCAAAGTTCAGGGACTTATAGGAGGAAAATCTAGAAGGGTCGGCTACTTTTCTTTTTCTTCTTTCTTCTTCTTCTTCTCCCCGTTGCAGCCACCCGAAAGAAGAAAAAAAAAAAAGGGAACCCGGCACCAGCCTTGGAGAAATCGGTAGAAAGCTTGAAATTCCCCATTCTTTCTTGTTCAATAACCAGATTTGGAGCTTAGAATTGCCCCCCTCTCTGCAGAAATCCGGATCTACTCTGCTCTGCTCTGTCTTCACTGCCGGCTGCTCCTGCTTTGTGGGGTGCGAATTGCTCGAGTTTTTGGTAAGAAACAGCTCGAAATTCCCCTTTTCTCACTTGATTTGGCTTGGGTTTACTCTAAACCCTCTTGATTTCTCCAATTTTCCGTGGATTGCGTGATTTTTCTCCTGCAGATTGCCGCCGGCCTTCCCCCAATTGCAGTCCGGTTTTGCTTGTTAAATTCCGGTATGTGACAGCCCTCCAACCCCGAATTTTTCCGTTAATTTGCTGCCTTGAATCTTGAATTTTCTGCCTTTGATTTGCCCTTCTACTGTTCGAGAATTTCTGTTGAAATTGGGGATGAATTTTGGCAGCATTAAGTTATGTTTTAAGCTTGGTTTAGGTAGAGAAATTAGCTTGATTAGTTGCTGTGATTTTTGGAGAAAAATCCCGTGAATTAGCTAGTGTTTTGGCCAATTTTGGAAGTGCAGTTATTGTTCACGATACTGTTCACGGCACTGTTCACAGGTCACTGTTCACGCACCGATGGCCAACAATTAACAGGGATTTAAATGATTAATTTGTAATATAAGAACAAATTTGGAAATGTTCGGTTATGTGGAGATTGATAGGAATAGCATTGTGATTAGGGGGTAGTCATGGTGATTTTACTTTTGAATCCGTGGTACGGTATTAATTTTGGATATTTTGATTAGGTTCCTTATCGTTCTATCAGTTTAGCATTGAGATCGAGTCTTCGGTTTTATGCGAGTGAGGTAAGTAAATTTATGATAATGCCCGTACAGTTTTTAAAAGCATGTTTTGATTTGTTTTTGAAGTGGTGGCGGGACTAAACCCGTTTTATGCAAAAGTAAGTATGATTGATTTGAAATAAATTTTTATACTTTTCATTAAATTGAGCATGCCTACTTGAAATTTAATTGATTGTCCTGATGATTTGAAAGTGATTGGTGAATTATGGTTTTTTTTGTTAACTTCTGTCTGTTTTGTCTCCGATGTGGTTATGTTATTAATGATCCTGCTAGTGGGGGTTAAACCCTAGCACATGTCGACATGTTATTGATAGAATCGGTTCGTTCAAGTGTAGCTTGCCAGTGGGAGGTTTATAACACTGATCATGACCTATAGAGGAGACGTCTATTTCGTTCCTGTACTGTATCCGTTTTTCGTGATTGCACTTGTTGGCATGCTATAAGTTTAATAAGGGCACTCCATATTTACTTACTGAGTTTATCTCATAGTTTTTCCTTGTCCACTATTTCAGGAAGCGAAACCGAGGACGGGGAAACCACGGGAAGTGACGAGTTAAAAACCTAGCCATTTCAAGATTGATATAGATTTTAGATATAGATCATGATCTTGTAAACTGGATTTTAATTGGAGATTTTATAAATTCATTGAATGGATTGTTAGTTACAAGAGATTTGACCTTGAGATTTTGGTGGTATCAGATTGAGATTGTGATATGATAAGTTCCGAGCCTTGTGTATTTGTGGGACCCTCTCACGAGTACACGGCGTTTGCCACGTCCTCAGATTTGGGTTCTAGGGCATGACAAGTTTAGTCCAAAATTTTTTTTAAAATATTTCAATTTGGTTTATCCTTCTTTAACTTTGCCTATTAAGACTTAAAATAAAGATAATGAATAAGTTGAATCAAAACCTCAATTTTAAAGTATGCAACTGTGTTTAGGCGGAGGGTTGTGAGGTGTGCCTATGCACTTTCTCACTCTTAATTGAACCCCTAAACCTCGATCTCTGCGCATACTCGTTTTAAGGTGACTTGTCTCACCTTATAATTTGGATAAGTGACGACTCCTTTTCTTATATATTTTAAACTTGATTGATTTTCATTATTTTGAAATCCTTTAAGTTTGAATGATTGTCAATAGATTGGCGACTCCATTGGGGATTGAACCCAAAATCTCTAGTTTCCATATTCTAGGTTCACGAGGGTTGAGCTAATACTTTAACTTTGGGGATTTTTTAGCTTTTGATTTTCTTTGATTGTTGAGTCTTTGTGGGTCTTTGCCATTTATTGTTTGTGCTTGTTGCGTGTTGCTTGTTATTTGTTTGCTCATTGTTTTAATGGTGCTTTGATTGTTTTTGCCTTTGAGTAGTTACCTTGCTACATCTTGACATGCATCATACCGTGTTAACATGTACATGCATCATATCATCTCACATGCTCATTCATCATTGAGGTTACCTGCTTATTCATCATGCATCATGCTTACATGCCTGTTTGCTTGTGTGTGAATATACTCACCTTTTACACTTGGCTATGGAGTACTTAGTGAGTCTCTTCCTTTTTATGCGATTATTTATATCTTGTTGCATGTTGAGTGTTGGTTGCTCTATGTACTAACCTTTTGCATTTAGCATGAGAGTACTAGGTGAGTCCCTTCTTGTTGTGTAAGTAGGTTTGTTTGTGAGTGATATATTTGTTGAGTGCTTTACATACTTTCTTTGATTGTCATGGGATATATGTTGCTATTTTTGTGGCTACCATTATGCAGGTTATTGGAGTGTCATGCCCTTTTGCACACACTCACTCTCATTTTGCATTAAGTCCGTGTTAGAGGTGAACCCAACCTCTAGTTTGGAATCCTTACAAATCTGGCTTGGAAGGGCAATTTTTTCTACTTAGAGGAGTAAGAGTTAGGTTGTTTCCATCGATTAATACAACACTTGATGATGTAATATTGTCTTGTGTATTAGCTTTTGGAAATATCGCTTTTGGAAATATCGCCCATTGATTCCGAAAGGATAAATGGTTGAGAAGGCCTAATGTCCTTTAGGAAAACACCCAAGGTTTCAAACCCTTTTAAATCAATCCTCCATGTTTTTGAACTTAATCAAATCAGTTTAAAAATTTTTTTAAAAATATTTTAATTTGGTTTATCCTTCTTTAAGTTTGCTTATTAAGACTTAAATATAAAGATAATGAATAAGTTGAATCAAAACCCCAATTTTAAAGTATGCAACTGTCTTTAAGCGAAGGATTGTGAGGTGCGCATATGTCATTCCTCACTCCTAACCGAACCCTTGAACACCGATATCTGCACAGACTCATTTTAAGGTGACTTGTTCTACTTTATAATTTAGATGAGTGGCGACTCCTTTTCTTATATACTGCACACTTGATTGATTTTCATTATTTTAAAATCCTCTAAGTTAGAGTGGTCATCAACAGCTTTGGGTGCCATTGGAGAAGAAAGAGGAATTCATATATTTTAATCCACTCAAATGGGATGGCACAAGTTAATTATTAAATTGGATTTGCTTTTTTTTTTTTTTTTGTTTTTTTTGTTTTTTTGTACCAGCCCATAATTTCATGCGTGCTACAATTTAGTCTTTTGTATTTTAATTTTTTTATTTACTTAATTCATTTTACATAACTAGAATGTATTATGGTGATAAGCAAAGGTGAAACAAGAAGGTGCTACCCAAAGAAAAATCTTGATTCTGCCACTGAGAGAATTGCAATATACTCCACACCAAAGATGCACTTTGTTGGGTTTAACTGCATTCGGTTCTTCCACAAATTACTAAATGTCTCATCCAGTTCAGTTAAATAGTCCTTAGCTTTTCGACTCTTCACCACGAAGTCATCAACATAAACTTCCAGGTTTTTGCCAATCTAAGCTCGGAACACGATAGTTACCATTTTCTGATAAGTGGCACCCGAATTCTTTAAACTAAAGGGCATCATGACGTAGCAATATATTTCATCTCCTACATAAAATGAGGTCCTCTCCTTATCCTCGGGAGCCATCGGGACTTGGTGATACCCAGAATATGCATCCAAAAGACTCAACCTCTCATTTCCAAAAGCTGCCTCAACCAGTTTGTCAATATTTGGCATCGGGTAGTAGTCTTTAGGACAAGCTTGGTTGAGATTCGTATAATCGATGCACATTCGCCATTTGCCATTAGCGTTCTTAACCAGCATTGGGTAGGCTACCCATTCACAATAATCAACTCTTCTGATGAAGTTGGCTTGTAGAAGTTTCTCTACCTCTTCCTTAATTACCTTGAGCCTCTCTCCCTTGAAAAGGTGCCGTTTCTGTGCTATTGGTTTCTTCAATGGATTGGTACTAAGTTTATGTTGAGATACTGAGGTTGGTATTTCTAGCATGCCTGCTGAGGTCCAAGCAAAAACATCCTTGTTAGCTCGGAGGAAAGCTATTAACTCTACTCTTTCTTCTGTGTTCAAATGAGTTCCGATTTGGGTCTTCTTGCTCGGAGCTCTGTCATCAATCTACACTTCTTTGACTTCCTCTATTGGAGTAGCTCAGGTTTCGTCTTCAAGTTGGTTATCAAGGATCTCAACTCCCATTACCTGTTGGTTGTCATGAACTTCTTATGGGGCGTTCTTCAAAGTCTGATCTTCTTGTTTTAGAGGCCTTCTAACCGAGGTAATCTAACAATGCCTGGCTATTCCCTGATTGCCTTTAGTGTTGCTATCCCCATGGGGGTATGGAACTTCATGCAGAGATGAGATTGAGAAACCACTGCTCGGATCTCCATTAATGTAGGTCGGCAAATAACAATATTGAAAGATGAAGCCATTTTGACAACCAAAAACCGAACTGAGAGAGTAACATAAGTTCGGCCAGTCCCAAATGCAACATTGAAGGTAAAGACCCCTTCAACCTGAACAGGCTAGTTGTTGAAGCCATATATAGGACCATCATACCTCTGTAGAAAAGCTGGATCCAACCCTAAACTTTCAAAACAATGATAATACATGATGTCTGGTGCACTACCTGTGTCAACAAGAACACGTTGTACCTCACAGTTGTTAATCATAACAGAAGTGACCAATAGGTCATTATGAGGTGATATCACCCTATCAAAGTCAGTAGGTGTAAAAGTGATTGGTTGGTTCTTTCATTCTGTATCATCAAACTTTCGTTTCTGAGCCCTGTTTTGGTGTTTCACCTCCCCGACATATAGTTTCCATTGTTTAGAGCTCAAACCTCCTACTTCTAGGCCATCTATGATCATGTGAATGATTCTAGCCGGTGGTGGGAAGGGTGGTGAAGCTTGTTGGTATCCCACTCCTTGTCTATTACTTGCATTACGAGGCCCCTATGACCGTGGACCCTGTTCCTTGACAAAGTTAGGCTGATTTGCTCTCTGGATATACTCATTTAACATCTCATTTCAAGTTAAGCCTTCTAACTCAAACTTCAGCTAATTACACTCCTCCATGGTATGACCATGATCTCGATGAAAATCACAGTATTTGGTGTGGTCTCGGGTAGCGAGAGAACTTCTCATTGGCGCTAGTCGCCTCACGCCATCTTATTCTTAATCTACATAAATATCTATGACCTCGACAAATTAAAAGGAGTTCATGTAACTGGTGCTTTACTGGGAGTTTGTTGAGGAGGTGCTGAATTCGGTCTTCTGAAACTCGGTGTGGAGGTCGACATCGGACCTCGGTTTTGTACTGTCTTCAATCCTTTCCTATTCTGGCCCTCCTCTCTCCAAACCAAGTTTTGATTCTTTACAGGAGTTGGTTTTTGTGATAAAGCATATTCCTCAGTAGTTATAAACCTCAAAGATCTGTCATTAACTTCATTGAAAGTAGTAAGAGGATGCTTAATTAGCCTATCCCTGAATCTTTCGTGTTTGAGGCCCTGAATTATGGCTGCAATTCCTATAGCTTGATCAAATGAGCTAACCTCCAGAACTGCATCATTGAATCTGCTCATGTAATTTTTCAAGGATTTTCCTTCCCTCTGTATGATTCGCATAAGTTTAGGTGTAGTTTTCTTGATTAACCTTCTATTGGAGAACTTAGTAGCAAAGACAGATGTCATCTCTGTATCAGAGCTAATAGATCTTGGGGGTAGACTATAATACCAAGTTCGAGCATTACTAGGGAGAGTTGAGGGAAAGATTTTGCACATCAATGGATTAGAGGCATTCTAAGCCTGCATACAGGAATATAAAGCATGCAGATGATCATCTGGGTCCTTGGTTCCATCATATGTTTCAAGCTGAGGTATCTTGAAGCCAGTAGGATAAGGTTTTGAGGTTATGTTGATATTCAGAGGATGAGGTATTGAGGTAGTAATATTCTAAAAAGGTGAAGCAGCTCGTTGCTCAGCCACCATTTTTTCTAAATTGTCCAGACGTCGTGTGACATTATCAGGTAGAGGTTGTTGAGGTGGGGCCACATGAGATTGGCCTTGAGACACATTGAGGGCAGGAGCATGTTGGTGATCATTGGAGTGAACTGGGGGAGGTTCTTGTTGTTGAACTAAAGGTTGCTGAGTTGGGTTTAGTAGATTAATGAGGGGATCACCAAGGTTATTTCGAGCTAAAAGCTGAGCCAAAACCAACTGCAAAACACCGAACTACTGTTGCATTGTGGCAAGCTGAGCTGAGACTTCGTCACCTTGGTTAGGGGTGGGAGCTAGGTTATGTGGTAGTGGCTAATTCTCATCACCTCCTTTTGCATGTTCCACAGGAGTGAATAGGTTTGGTGTATGAGGTGGTAAGTTATTTGGTTGCTGGGCTTGACCTCGGCCAAGAGGCTGAGCTTGACTTCTGGTTTGAATAGATCGAGTGTTGACCATGGTGAAAAAGCAACAAGAGAGCTTTTAATTTGGATTCCCACAGACGACGCCAAATGTAATTGCAATGAACCAGGTAACTTCTTCTAGTATGAGTCTTCTCTTCAGGATGACTTGCAAAGCCCCGAGGTGGATCTTCGGGGTAGACACTCCGATGCTTAAGTCAGCAATAGTCTAGTCTACCTTCAAGAATTATGGAAAAAGAAGCTTTAGGTCGGTTTCAATTACCTTTTTTGAGATGGCCGTTGAGGGTTATTTATAGGCCCTAATGAGGTATCCACGTGGCCTACTTAATAAGATAATCGGAGTTTGACGTGTCCATTTAGGCGATCATCTTAGGGATAGAGGATTGGGTGCAAACATGCCTACAGTAACTGTCATGCAATTGCATGACCGGGATGAATGGAACTTACGAGTTACTTTGGCCTTTAAACATTAAAGTGTAGCAGTATGTCCGAGGTCCTTAACCTCGGACTTATCCTTACAAATATGCATTTTTTATTTCCAAGATTTAGTAGTCTCTTTTCAAATATAGGTAATAGGTAAAATCCCGCTGGGCCCTAATTTTAACTCTTTTTAGTTTTACTTTGTTTTAGACCGGTGCTTGGATTGAAAATGGGCTTGAGAAGGCTTTAGACTCGGGCTTTGTTGACAAACTTCGGCTTGGCTTCAAACTTTAATTTGATTCCCTTTTGTTATGTTTTCCTCTTCTAATATAATTTTTAAACATTAATTGATATTAAAAAATAAAAACTGACTTTTATTCAATTAAAATGATTCACATAACATTAACAGTAAAATTAATGTTAATTTTTATATTTGGGTTAAAACCCCTTTTTGGTCCTTGAACTATTGTATGGACCCCCGATTTGGTCCTTGAACTAAAAAAATCCTTGATTTGATCCCTATTGTTTACCATTTTTACCCCGATTTGGTCATTCCGTTAAAAATTGTGTGACGTAGCTTGTTACTTCACGGTTACTAGATGACATGTCATATAGTAATCCACAGGGAAGATAATATAACCAAAAAGTGATGATGTGGAAAAAATAATAATATAAAAAAATATTATGAAAAATAAAACTTAAAATTTTTTTTCTTTTTTCTTTTTTTCTTTTTTCTTTCTCCTTCCCCTTTCCCTTTCTCTTTCTCCTTCCCCTTTCTCTTCTCTTTCCCCTCGGAACCTAGCAGGCCTGGGTTCCTTCGAACCCACCCAGGCGTTGGGTTCCTTGCAAACCCAAGCATTGGGTTCGCAAGGAACTGAACCCAGCACGCTTGCTTGGGTTTGATGGAACCCAGCACGCTTGGGTTCGGTTCCCAAGCATGCTAGGTTCGCGTCTGGGTTCGCACCGAACCCAGCATGTCTAGGTTTGGCGGAACCCAGCACGCTTGGGTTCGGTTCCTTGCGAACCCAACGCCTGGGTTTGCAAGGAACCCAAGTGTCACACCCCAAATCCCAGAGCGAGACAGACGCCGTGCACTTGTGAGCGGGACCCACAAATGCACAAGGCTTGAAAGCTATTGAGTTCTTACTTAGCAATTCAGATCTAAACCTTTTTATTTACCAAATATTTACTAGTCAGATGTACAAAATTATTAACTTCATATATACAATCATGACTAAAACTAAGTTCTGTACACAAAAATTTCTATGTCAAGCATGGGTGACTAACGGCCTAACTACAAAAACCTAAGTCCAAAATGATGCCTAGCCGTCTAGCTAGTCACTCCCCCGGGCTCCCCATGCGTCAGGTCTCACTACCTGAAATGTGGACAAGGAAAGATTATGAGATAAACTCAGTAAGTAAAATATGGAGTGCCCTTATTAAATTTATAGCATGCCAACAAGTGCAATCATGAAAAACGGATATAGTACGGGAACGAAATAGACGTCTCCTCTACAGGTCATGGCCAGTGTTTAAACCTCCCACTGGCAGGCTACACTATTGTTGGTGTTTAACCCCCACTAGCAAGGTCATCAATAACATAACCACATCGGAGACAAAACAGGCAGAAGTTAACAGAAAATCATGCTCAAATCCATAAAAATTATAAAATTTTCAGTTCAAATCAATCATACTTATTTTTGTAATAAACGAGTTAAGTCCCACCACCATTTCAAAAACAAGTCAAAACATGCTTTTAAAAACTGTACGGGCATTACCATAAATTTACTTACCTCAGTCGCAATAAGCAGAAAACTCACTCCAGGAGCTAGGGTGATAGAATAATCAGGAACCTAGCCAAAATATTCCAGAATTAATAACCATATGAAAACTACCTATTTAATCCTTTTCAATATTGCCGGCAATTAACCCCCATAATGCAATATTTATTTTATTTATTTATGTACTTTATTTTATTTTTACTTCCTATCCGAAATTTGAGCTCTAAAAATCATGTGGTGCATTTATATTTACTTTCCAAATCCCATAGACAAAATGGAGGAACCGGCTTAGACCAAAAATAGCTAATTCACGGGAATTTCATAGGATTTTCCCACAATTAACACCACAGCAACCAAACAAGCAAATTCCACATGAATTAACCAAAAACACAACTTAAAGCTGCCGAAATTTTCCATTTTTTTTTCTTGGCAGCATTCGGGCAATACAGGGTAGCCACACAAGGACCAAATTCAGCAAGGCAACCACTAATTAGATGAAATTTGGACATAAAGGAGTGGCCACATACCAGAAAATTTAGCAAGCAAAGAAATTGGGGCTGGCGGTGGGAAGGCTGACGGTAATTCAAGGAGAAATTCGGGATCTATTCCCAAAATTGGAGAACCTAAGAGAAATCAAAGTTAACCCAAGCCAATTCAAGAAGGAAAAGAGGAATTAATAGCTATTCTTACCGAAAAATCAGAGCAATTCGCCCCCACAAAGCAGGAGCAGCCGGCGGCAGAGAAGGAATAAGACAGTAGATTTGGAAAATTTTCTACAAGGGAGAAGATTTCTAAGTCCTAAACTTGTTCTTGAACAAGAAGAGAACAAAATCATCAAGTTCTCTTACCAATTTCTCGAGTGGGGGCGTGGGTTTTTGGCTGGGTTCATCTCCGGCTGCAAGGGAGAAAAGAAACAGAGCAGACACGCGAAAATGGTTGGGAAAGAAAGAAAAGTCAGCCGGCCTTATCCACTTTATTTTCTTTTAAACCCCTTGATTTTAACATTTTCTATTAGTGAGGCCAACAATATTATTTTCTCACAATTAGGTCCCTAACTCAACTTTAATGCTCTAGAAAATTTTGGGGTAGTACACCAAGCGTGCTGGGTTCGCGTCTAGGTTCCTTGCGAACCCAGGTGCAAAACATTTTTAAAAAAGAAAATTCTGTTTTTGTTTATTGGATTTTGTTGTTTGATTGTGATGAAAAATTGATTAATGAAGATGAAGAAGGCAAGGCAAGGCAGTTGCTGGGTTACTGCAGGTGTTGGGTTCGATGCTGGGTTCGATTTTTCAATTTCGAATGCTAGGTTTTTGCAGGTGCTGGGATCATTTGTAGGTGTTGGGTTCGAAATCGAACCCAGCCGACGGTGGGTTTGAGCAACCGCTGAGTTCTTGCAAGTAAGGCTCTGAGTTTTGTTTCGAACCCAGCGGCCATTGGGTCAAATATCTATTGAGTTTAATCTGTTGATTTGTTGTGTTATCCCCGAATTTAATATTAGGAGTTAGGGTTTGCAGAAGGTTAAAGGAAAGGGAGAGGAAGAAGAAAGGGAAAAAGGAAAAACAAACGAAGAAAAAAAAAAGGAATAAGAAATTTTTTAAGATTTTTTTCTTGCCATCTCATTTTTTTGTCACACTGTACATCCTAGGTGTCAAAATGTTTTTACATGTCATCGTTTTCCCGTCAAGTAACGGGACACGTAGGTTGATATTTGACGGAAGGACCAAATCGGGGTAAAAATGGTAAACAGTAGGGATCAAATTAGAGATTTTTTTAGTTCAGAAACCAAATTGAGGATCCGTACAATAGTTTAGGGATCAAAAAAAAATTTTAACCTTATATTTTTAATAAAGATTAATATAAAAAACTATATTAATTATATTTTTAACTTATACCTTAAAACCAAATCATCGTCCATTAACATTCTATTTTTTTAT